AGAGAGAGAGAGAGAGAGAGAGAGAGAGAGAGAGAGAGAGAGAGAGTGAGTGAGTGAGTGAAGCTATGGACCCTATCGATATTTTGACGATATCAGCAGGGCTGCAGGAGGTCATGGATTGACTTCCATTGATGACCGTGGAGGAAGTCAACCTGTATATAGTGTTTCCTTAGGTTGACTTCAGTCTCCACCTGGGCGCAATTGACCAAATTACAGGTCCATATGGGCCCATGTGCAGGTCCTGACCAATATGGGTTCCGGTACGCCCTCATATTTGATCAATATGGGCCCAAGTACAGGCGATGACCAATATAATGGGCCCAGGTACTGGTCGGAATCTCTAGGGCCCGGTCGTCTAGGGTCAGGTCCTCTAGGGCCCAGTCCTCTAGGTGCTCTGGGCCCGGAGTTGCGCTCAAGGTAATTCAACGACCCAACCACCCAACCACCAAACCAACCACCCACCCAACCAGCCAACCACCGAACCACCTAACCACCTAACCCCCTAACCACCCAAGCACGTAACCACCCAACCACGCAACCACCCAACCACCTAACCCAAGTACCCAACCACCTAACCGGCTAACCCAACCACCTAACCGGCTAACCCAACCACCCAACCAACCACCTAACCCAACCACCCAACCACGTAAACAACCACCGATCAAGACAATTACCCAATCACCCAACCAGCCAAGCAACGACCTAACCAACCAGCTAACCACCCAACCACGTAACCACCCACCCACCCAACGACCCAACTACCCAACCACCTAACCCAACCACCGAATTGCCTAACCCAACCACCCAACCACCGAACTGCCTAACCCAACCACCCAACCAACCACCGAACTCAACCGCCTAACCGCAGGTCGGGAACACAGGCTCGACGCAGGTTTGGGAGACGGTTCGAGGGTCAGGTCGGGGACAGAGGCTGGGAGCAGGCGAGGGAGACAGGTCCAGGGAAAGGTGCGTACACAGGACCAGGCATGTAGCATGTAGGGGACAACGCCAGGCTCGGCTTGAATCCTGGGTCCACGCCCAAGGGTAACGAGCTGACCAGGCCAGGTGCAGGCCGAGAGCCTTTTTTTTTTCCCTTTAAAAGGTCAGGCCATGAATAGGCCCTGACTGGGCGTGCACCCTGGGTGTTCGGTCGAGGCCCAGGCCTAAGCTGCTCGCCGGGTCCGGGTTTAGGAGGGGGTTAGGTGCTTGCTGTTTTTTTTTTTTTTTTTTTTTTTTTTTTTTTTTTTTTTTTTTTTTTTTTTTTTTTCCTAATTCAAAGTCGAGGCCTCGACGGAGTCAACGCAATGGAGTTTTTTTCTTGCATGGACGCACACACCTGCTTATAATTTGAAGTCGAGGCCTTGACGGGTGTTGGGCGGAGTTGACGCGACGGTGCCTTTTTTCCTTGCTCTCTCTCTCTCTCTCTCTTTTCTCTTCTCTCTCTCTTTTTCTCTCTCTCTCTCTCTCTCTCTTTCTCTCTCTCTCTCTCTCTCTCTCTCTTAATATATCGATTTCTCTCCGTCTGTATATGTGTGTATGTGTGTGTGAGTCCATGAATCAAGCAATTTGATTGACTGATTGCTTAACTTCTTCTTTTATGCCTTAAACAGTAGCGTTGGTATATGACGATGAGTATTACATGCTAATACAGGTTAAATTATCGTCTAATTTTGTTATTATTCATATATTAGTTGTTTTTTTTGTGGTGGTCTCTACAGACAGACAAGTGTCTGGTGGAACCAACGTGGTGGTGGACAGATGTACGGAAAGGGGGGTCGAGGGATCATCGTGGTCTAATCAGGATAAGGCCACGTATGTTGATGTATCCGAGTCATTTGACCATCCACTCATTAAAGCTCACCTGAAAGATACATACATTGAGAAGTGTGAGGAACGTTACGAGTATAGCGCGACGAACAAGGGCAACGTTGCATGAACCTCAGCCTAAACTGCGGTATGGTGTTGAAGGTAAGCTTCCCAGTGATTTTGCGTTAAAGAGGGTATGTGGCCGCTACCTCACAGACAATGAAGACCTTCGATGGAATCAGGATGAGTTGCTAGAAATGTTGAAAAAGAAGGAGGAGGAAGTGAATGCATTGAGGAATGCATTTATGAAAGTTAAGTTTAATGCACAGGCAGTGGTTGAAAGTTTCGTTGAAGCGAAACGAAGTGAAGAGGTAAGAGATTCCTCTGTGTCCGGTGTTCGGATTGTGAAGAAGGAGGCAGATGCTGTTGAGGAGATGGACAGACAGTTTAAGCGTTTAATTCAATCGTCCATTATAAACGATTTGTTAAACGAAGTTTGTGAGCTTAGTACTAGAGTTCACTTGCACCTGTTGCAGCAGTGTGAGGATTTGCGTCGGCGATTAGGAGAAGTCGAGAGTGGGATTAGAAAAATATTATTGGTAGGTGCTTTACCATCGATTGATCCTTCTTTTGCCTCGGACCTGTTTGAGATTCCATCAACAGCAACTTTGGAAGACCTTCCAAAAACGCGTTTGATTGCTATGTTAGAGTTATTGAAAAATGTTGGTTCGGAGCTGGCACACAGAAATGTACTCTTAGAGGTGCAAAATGCGATGAAGTTTCCGGTAAGTGACAGTCAGTTAAGGGAAACGGTGATTACGCTTGGACATTTGTACAAGCAGACACGGGAAGAGTTAATGAATAAAGTGTTCAGGGATACTTTTCTTGATCGATGTGATGAGGGATTCACGAATGGCACGGTGACACGCTGTCGGACCAAATACCCTTACAAGGGTATTTGACCATGTTTTAAAGTTGACACATCGATTGCATCGACCACCATGATGGAGTCGGTCTGAACTTAAAAGTGTACACGTTCTTCGCGCGGCACTTTGAAACGAATTTTCCTCGACCGTTGAGGCCAGGGCAAAATCCGTGAGAAAATTTCGTTAAGTATGCGCGCGTTGTTCTGACGCACGTTGTGAAGGTCGGGATCTGCAGTAAGGGTCGATAGGGTTGATGTTATGATGAGTAGGTCTACGATATACGCCGAGACTTAATCGTCAGTACATTAGTCAGAATAAATTAATACGCCCCCCGGTCGTACGACCGGAGTGATTATTAGTGTATGATCATCGGGGTTGAGGTATCACCCCAATTGTTGTCATTTGCTAAAGCGGTACCTTTATCCTTACTAGTGCACCGAAAACAAGGTTGAGGCTTTATCTCAGCCTTCCGCGGGTAGAAAGGGAGTCGCCCTTGGGAGGTGACTTCCTGGACACGTGACTACCCAAGCGACCGGTATCTCCTCCTTTCCAAAAAGGAACTTCATCACTGACTCTGATATCATCCGCAAAAGGCTCTAGACTCCGGCTACTTGAACTAGTACCCACCTACCTACCGGTACCGGACCTCTAAAAATGCTAATTTTGTCTTCTTCTACTCGACCTCCGAGTCGAGTACCCGCCGCGTCTACCTCGATGTGGTATGGTACCAACCTTCCTGCTACTTGAGTGTTATTCGTCGCTCTTAAGGTGTGGCGGACCTCTTTTCCCGTCGTGACCCTCGAATGTTGCGGTCATAGCTAGGTACCGGCCTACCCGCCACTAGAGTGTCTCCCCGCCGCGACCCTCAATGTCGCGGCCACGGCTAAGTACCGGCCCTTCGGGCCTTCCGACCAACCAAGTGCCCTTGCGGGTCACACACACACACTCAAGCCGACAAACACACAGGCAGGCATGCAAACCAGCAAGCATGCCCACACGCACAAGACCGAAGAACAGGCTCAGGCCACTGGTTGGACGGGGCCCAACTATTGTATACATACTGAGTTGCTCCCCTTCTATTTGAAATGGGAGCTAACTCAGTAGGTTTAGGTGTTGATTACTACACAGGGGATGCAGGGATCGAAGCTTACCGACCCTTGAGCTACCTCCCTTTTGTCAGGGAGCTCAATTGCATTTGTACCCCGGTTACGTGTGGCCGGGACTTGAACCCGCGACCTCCAGATTAGGAGAAAGTTGTTGTTAGTAGGTTAGTTGGATAGTTAGCCCCTGCTGTAACGCAGGCTGGACACTTGGCACATTAGGGTAGTTAACCGTTAGATTCGGTCTGTTTTTTTTTTTTTTTTTCTGTTTTTTTTTTTATTTTCCTATTTTTTATTTTATATATATATAGATTTTTTTTTTCTCCTTTTTTTCATTCTTAACCACTCCCCGTATCTATGACCGATGGGTTTACGTCGACGAGTCTGCCACAAAACCCGGTGCAGATTCGTTCCAATGGAAAACTGCTCATCCCCACCTACGGCATGAGCAATTCAGCCTGGCGCACTCGGGTGTGGAAAGCCGAGGAAGAGACAAACTGGGAGGAGGAACGCGCGAAGGAAGGAGATGGTTGCGCAGAAAGAAGGGGAGCGCGCGGGGGTGCGTGTGCAGGATGGTCGTTCAGGTAGAGCTCGGGGGAGAAGGGAGATCGCGTGGGAAGGCGACGGCAAGGTAGCGGCGCGCGGGAAAGTAGTGAAGAAAAATGGCGAGATAATAGTGATAGAATAGGAAAAGAAGAAGAAGAAGAAGAAGAAGAAGAAGAAGAAGAAGAAGAAGAAGAAGAAGAGAGAAGATAAGACGAAAAAGAAAGAGTAGAAGAAGGAGAAGGAGGAGGAGAGAAGAAGTAGGAAAGGAGGAGGAGAACAGTTACCGGAGCGTGCTGATGGCAACGAGGGCTCCGATGACAACGACGACAACAGGGGAGAAGAAGTACTTACCTGACCAAGCACGACGGCGACGCGACATCGGCCTTGCATAAGAGGTAAGTCTCCGATCTACCCGGTTGCTCTCCCCTCCCTCTTTGCATTCTCTCGCTGGCCCATTCTTTCCTCTCTTCTTTTCTGATTACCGCCCACTATGCCCATCGCTGCGTCTCGGATCCCTGCGGGTGGAGGCGATCACCGCAGGAAGGGCCTGTGCATGTTCACCTCCCGCCGTTCTATCTCCCCACTTCTGCTCTCCCGGTATCCGCCTTGCGTTTCGGGAGATAACTGTGCGCGCGCGAGCGCGTGAGAGAGGGAGACAACAAGTCTCCAACCTTGGCCATCAGCCAAGTCTCAAGCCCGCGGCTCGCCGCGCGCTTCCTGGATCGATAGAACGAGCAAATAAAAAAGGTGCAGTGTATATTTCCACGTTTCAGCGGAAGATCCATTCCGTTTTTGCTCATCCTATCGATGGAGTGTGTGTGTGTGTGTGTGTATGTGTGTGAGAGAGAGAAGTGCAAGAGATGGACAGGGAGATCGAGGTGTGTGTGTGCACGATCCTCGGGCTGGCCTCGCGCAGCCTCCTTCTACGAATAAGCAAGATCGATCGCATCGCCCACTACAACATCTAACGTTTCAATACATGAACGTGTGTATGTGTGTATGTGTGTGTGTGTGTGTGTGTGTGTGTGTGTGTGTGTGTGTGTGTGTGTGTGTGTGTGTGTGTGTATGTGTGTGTTTAAAAGTGTGTGTGTGTGTGTGTGTGTGTGTGTGTGTGTGTGTGTGTGT